TATGTAAGAGGGTGCGAGCAATGCCAGCGAGCCAAAGGGGAAAGGCGGGCGCCGGCGGGGCTATTAGAACCCTTACCAACCCCAGAACGACCTTGGGAGGCAGTGTCGATAGATTTTATGACTGATCTGCCGAAGTCCAAAGGGAAAACAGCCATCATGGTGGTGGTGGACCTACTAACAAAGATGTGCCACTTTGTAGCTTGCTCGCATGCAGTCACGGCGGAAGAGACAGCGAAGTTATTTGTAGAACACATTTTTAGGTTGCACGGGGTGCCATTGAGGGTGGTCTCAGACCGAGGAAAACAATTTACTTCCAGGTTCTGGAGGAAGCTCATGAGCTTACTGCAGGTGGAGGTCAATTTTTCGACTGCCCGGCACCCTGAAACCAACGGGCAGGCGGAAAGAGCAAACGGTGTCCTCCAGCAATACCTGAGGTGTTATGTCAATGACAGAGAGAATGACTGGGTAGAAAAGTTGGCGCTGGCGGAATTTGCCTACAACAATGCCGAGAATGTGTCCACAGGGATGAGCCCCTTCTTAGCTAATTATGGGTGTCATCCCAGGGCTTTCCCAGGGGGAGATGGGGAGAGATGGAGCGTCCCGGCAGCCGAGCATTTTGTAGAAGAAATGGAAGCAATCCATTGTCAGCTCCAACTCAACTTAGAAAGGGCGAAGGAAGAATACAAGAGGCAAGCAGACAAGAACCGAAGGGAAGGTGAAACCATAAGGGTGGGAGATAGGGTGTGGCTGTCAACCCAAGGGCTGCCGCTCAAAGGAGGTTGTAAGAAATTAAGACCCAGGAGGTTGGGTCCCTTTGAGGTCATTCAACAGGTCAACCCAGTGGCTTTCAGGCTCCGGTTACCCAACCACATGAAACTGCACCCAGTATTTCACAGGTCGTTACTGTCACCGTACGAAGGGGGACGAGAAGGGATGGCCACTCGGGGACCGGTCATAGAAGAAAGAGAATGCAGCAGCCATGTGGCAGAAATCCTCGACGCCAGGTGGAAGGGGAATCAGGTGGAGTATTTGGTAGCGTGGGAAGGAGAACCGGAGTCAGAAAACACTTGGGTAATGGCCGAAGATATCAATGACGAGGTATTGATAGAAACGTTCCATCAAAGGTTCCCAAGGAAACCTCAGCCTGTGGAGAGGTTCCGGAGGGAATACTTTGGGACCACTGATGAGGAGGAGGAGTTGGAAGGCTTCCCGGACTCGGAAGGGGAAGGGGAGATGGACTCTGAGGAGGAGGAGTACTTCGAGACCAGGAACCGCAACAGGTGGAGAGAAGTGTTCGAGACATCGGAAGATGAAGGAAGTTCATTCCGGGTTTTGCCTCCTCACCGCCCGTAGAGGAGGGGGCGAGAGGGGGTGAAGGGGGCCCTGGAGGGGGAGGTGGATGTCAGGGAACTGCCATCGGAAGGAAGGGAGGTGAAAGGGCTCACACAGGGTGGGAGAGACTCAGCAGCTGAAGAGGGAACCAGTAGGGGGAGAGGAGCTGAGCTGAGGGAAAGTGAGCTGGAGGGATGGCTCAGAGACACTTCCAGCGAAAACAGTGGGAAGGTTTCAGGACCTCCTGTAGGGACACCCACTCCTCGCCGGAAACTGACACGCAGAGAGTCCAGAAGACGTGTTTCCGTTAAGGAGCTTTTATGTTGGAAGCGATTCCGAAAGCAACCACTGTCGGAATCTGCTAGTGACTAGAGGAGCCATGTCTGAGGGGCTCCGTCACAGACAGA